TCATCGATATAAGTAGTGGATAAAAATCTTCACCAAGCACACTTTCAGTACTTGGAAAAATCAGGTGTCCAAATATAGAACCTTTTAAAAAATAAGAGATGGGGGTACGAGACCACATGGTGATCATGGTTGGTTGATCGAAAAGGTTACGGCGAAAGATGTGACTAATCATTGTGAAAATATTGGTGATTGTCATGTCATGAGGCAAACTTATTATAAGCATGGCAATCCGAAGTATTCTGATGTCAGGAAGATGATAACTGAAATACAAACCTTTAAGGCTAAAGATAGAAAATTTGGTGCCTAATTTTTAAATATACTTTGGACTATAGGGTCTAGTTACTCACCAAATTTATCCACTACATAATTATCGATGATTCTATTGGATTAACAGGAGGAGCATTCGCAGAATTATTATAATCTACATCAAGGATTAATTTTGAAAAAATCCTTATAGGTGGAAGAAAGATTCCTTGGCCTTGATGCTCCGTGTTCCCGACGACAGTAAAAAGTTAAGGGAAGTTACTCTGAAACAAACGACCGTGTTCAGTCGTTGTGATCATTAAAAAAAAAACCTAGAGGTTTTTGTACGTTTTATTGTGTGCCCCATTTTATTTTTAAAAGAGATTATTGCTATTTTTAATCAGAAAATGTGAAGAAAAATATCTCAAAGCAAAAAAAGAAATATTAATTGGTTTCGTTTCATTTTTAAAATAATTTTGATTCCATAATATTGACGTCAACAAATATTCCGTCAAAATTTAATAGTTTCGTTTTGTAGTATGAAAATCTACGATCCTTAAATGCTCATTTTAGCGCCTTTTGTTCACTTCGGTAAGCCGGTTGGCAGCGGTAGGCGGTTGGCTTTTTAAACCCACCCGGTTTTTTTCGATCCGAAATTGGGTATGCACGTGTATTTTCATGCGGAAGGATAATTCTAAAATAGGCGTTTTTGTGCACAGGGACAGTCAAGCGGATGTTGATTAAATGTTGTGGTCTACTTTCAGTTTGGCTAGCTTTTCATGCATTGATTTTCATGGTCATGATATATTGAATTTTTGTCCAGTTGGTCAGGCTTTCACGTGACATATGGAGAGTGTTCAACGAGATTTCTGGAAAAAGTTATAGAAAGTTGAAATTCGTGATTTAACATGGAAACAGATGGCAAATGAATTACCGGTCATAGTCCTTAAACCACAATATTCGAGAATTTTAATAATTTGAGTTATTGCCCTTGACTTACCCGTCAAATTTGGCTCAAATTAACGCGATCGAGGCTACGCTTTTTTCATTCGATCCCAAATTGGGTATGTATTGACAAATCTGGTAGGCCTACTCTCCATTGCTCTATATTTATTTTAAAATAGGCCAATAAACTGGCATAAAACGTGATAATGACTACAGATTAGATCCGATTTTGATTATATGCAGATTGGTAAGATCTGATCTCCGACGAGTTTATTCAGGATATTAGTTTTTGCCATGACTTTTGAACACAATAGAATTACAGCTTGAATTTCAGCATTGCACACGTCGTTTTCATTAATCCAAACAGCTGCAGGAAACTAGGACTTAAAACTCCAATTAATTATCATGTTGAGATAAAGACTTTTGGATCGTTGCACAAAATGAATAAATAAAGACGCTTTGACGGACAGAATTTTAAAATACAAAAAAGTGATATAATCCTTGTTGAAATGGTGTCAAACGAATGATAAATACACGATAAGATAATTACAAAATAACTGAATAGTTTTCTTAAAACCTGACGCAGTCAGATTCAAATTACTGACCCTTTTGGTCACTGACACACTATCGTCTTTAAATAATGCTATCAAATCACACAGTATGAGCGTGAAAATATTGCCAAATAACAGAAGTAGGCTACAATTTTACGGTTACAAACCATTATCAATGACTACTAGCTCATTGTAGTATATTTGGATTTGCGACTTAACTTCAGAACGATCTCAATTAACCACTAGCTCTAATAGAGCAGGTGCCGGAATACACCAAATCAATCCAATTTATTGAAAATCTTGGGATAACCCTCTCAGACGGTTCATTCATTCCCCGCACCCTCATCAAAACGTTTTTTTTATTGACCACGTCAGAGTTTTAATTATTATAGGACAAAGCTCACCGTCTAAATTTGAGACTTCACATCCACGTGTGTCCAGAATTATCCGCGATTGAATGTTAAAATAACGACTCGTCAATTTAAGACGCTCTGTGATATATAGAAAAGACTTATATAGAAATAGTTAGTAAAATTCCTAGTTCGAAGTATTTGTTAAGAAATTGTGTGATTTTCGTACATTTTTAGTACTTCTGAAAACTATTTACATATATTTAAGATTAAAATCAACCCACCAAAATAGCGCAACTGCCCCTTTTAAGTCTTTGAGCGTTCTTTCTCTATCCCTCTTTCATATATAAAATGTGTAAGCTAATTGCAATGTACCGGAATTTCCCCTTGATTATTTTCTTGTAATCCATGCACAAATGTAAATGTGTCTTTGTCTTGGACTCTTGATGATTCTGTCAATCGTTAATAGCGCTTTATTTTCTAAATGTCCCTTTAATCAAAACAAACAACTATTATTTGCTTTATTTGATGCATTTCCAGCATGGAAGTCCTCACAACCAAGGTAGCTGATGGTTTGGTGTATAAATTTTGATTGTGATGTTTGTTGTCTTTTGATCTACTTTTACATAAAGAATCTTCACCCCCGCATTGGTGATAAGGGTTGCTGAGATACTTCATGCTTTCCATAAATCAAGTGAACCAATTCATAATTCGAGTTGCTTCCCTTCTTTCACAAGCTGATGGCCGCGAAATAATAACATCCTAAATTTGAAAGGAATTTTCCGAGATATATCCGGTTTTCAACCCGGTTACTCTCTGTCAGCGATGGAGGTGGGGGTGAGATGTAAAGGGGTTTGTGCATTTAGATAGTACACTTAGATAGTGCACTTAAAGATCCCTCGACAGTTAGATTGCTGCTGCTGTTCTGGCAAAATTCTGCCGTATATATAGCCTTAACCATATTAGTGGGTACAGCAAAACCCTGAATTGAAATAATTACATAGTCGACATAACGATATTATAGCCTAATGACACTTAAGATCACACCATTCTTCTGCCTTTAATCTGGAAGAAAAGACAATCAGATCTAGACCAAAAAATAGGCTTAGAAAAACGTAAAAAGTGGAAGAGCAGGGAATGTCTATTTCATGTATAACAATCATTTTGTGAAGAATGTTTTAGTAGTCTGAGTCCTTTATTTAAGAATTAGCTACAAGTTATTTCCCTTGAGATGGAATTTTTGAAAGAAATACAACTGTTCTACTGTTAGGCCTCTACTTTTTTTTATAATATTACCTCCTTTGAAACTAATATTTATTTCAGCGCCATTTTTGTTTAACTATAGGCCTATATAATGTACAATTTTATGTCTTATTTTTTGGAAACATTTTTTTTTTGTTCTACAGGGCGATTGTCTGTCGTTTCGAAAAATCCCTTCTCAAGTGCAGCAGATCTGTGACTTTATTGTGAAAAACTAACCATTTAGAAAAAATACTACCTCCCTTAAACTAAGATTTTATTTAGGCCTACCCTACCCTTTTTTTTTTACAAAAGAGCTCGCTGTGGATAAACAAAATCATAATCATATTGCACGAAAACTTTTTTCTAAAATATTACAGAAAGATAGCTTGCCAGGCAAGGTATATACATACGCCCACCACCAGCTTTCAGAAATAAAGAAAAATATCTTTAGTGGCTTAATAATGAATTTTCAAATAATCTTACAATCATCTATAAGTCAAGGCAAAAACCTGAAACAGTTCGTAAAATTATCATCAAATTCAAACAAGAACAATGTCTCATCGCTACACATAAGGGCAATAACTCTGAAACTGTTCATCCGATTATTACAAATTTCATTAATATATGAATATCTAGTTTCATCAAGATTGGATAAAAACTGCAGTCCTTAGCTATCGTGCTTGTGAGTCAAATTTGACAAGTTTTTACTAAGTCAGGGGCAATAACTTCGAAACCCTCCATACAATTGTTACCAATTACGAACTCGACTGAGATCTCATCAACAAATACATGCATACCAAGTTTCATCAAAATCAGATAAAAACTGTAGCCTCTATCGCGCCTACAAGGCAAATTTGATGTGGTTTTTGTAAGTCAAGGGCAATAACTCCAAAAGCATTCGTCCGGTTATTACCAATTTCGAACTTGACTGAGATCTCATCAATATTTACATGCATACCAAGTTTCATCAAGATCAGATAAAACTGTAGTCTCTATTGTGCCTACAAGCCAAATTTGACGCGTTTATACTAAGTCCAGGGCAATAACTCTGAATCCAGTGATCCAATTATTACCAATTTCGATCTTGACCGAGATCTCATCAATATATACATGCATACCAAGTTTCATCAAGATCAGATAAAAACTGTAGTCTCTATCGCTCATAACCAGCCAAATTTGACGCGTTTTGACATGTGGATTCCCGCATTTGAATTGTGGTAAGTCTTCGGATAATATGGCATTATTTGTATTTAATATCTGGTAGCATTCCATTTTTATCTTCCCCTTATCACTTTCAAAATCGTTATAAAACTCAAGGTGCAGTTTTAAATCATTTATATCAATGTGGTAGGTCGATTGTGAAATCCTATATCTATACTGTTTTTAAAGAATAGGGAATTACCATAGCCATCGGAATGTAGGCCTACCTTCTGCTTATCTGCGTTGTAGAATTGCTGTATGCATTTCCCGATTTTGTGTAATAAATTACAAAGCAAATTTGATCGCATCAGCACTAAATATATCAGTGTTAATCGACACATACAATTTTTTTTATTTCATCATACAGTACGACCAATCTAGAAATATAACGTCATCCTACTGAATATTCATAACATGGGTCAAAGTTCACGCTGACGCAAGCTTTACATTGGTTAAATGAGAAAGAAATGTTTGCAATCGGTTAATACAATTCTTGAACTAGACTAGTGAATACCGCCGCTCAGCTGATATTTATAAATATACTCATTACTTTAGATCGTTCTGTGGGATTCAGTTTGGAATTAATTATAACAATGGTTCGTGTACTAGGAAAATCGAATGCCGCTTTGACAGTTTGTTATGAGAAAATAAAGAGTGATAATATTATTGATAGTGAGAAAGCTAGACGCGCTTCACAAGCGCTCAATTTTCACGATAATTCAATGTGTACAGAAGATTTCCAACACGCATCACCTCCACGATGTCAGTCGGAGACGGATATGTCTTGTGATTCCGATGCAGATAGTCTTTCATCATGCTACAGTACACAACCACACTCGCCCATGAACGAACGGCATGCTGAGGTAAGGTCATATCGACATGAACTCAATCAGCTGTGAGTAGCGGCACGTATAAATAAACACTTTTACATTGTTTATTTACCAAACTACAATATAATTTCTAATATATTAGGTTCATAATACCTTAATATATAAATATTTCTAAAAATTGTCGTGTTATTGATGTTATTTCATTGATATTTCATTGTAAAACTGGTTTGTTTCTCTCTTCTTCAACAAATCGGCCAGCTGATTCACGACATGAATACATGGCTATTAATAGATTCAAGGGCGGGCAACCCCATTTTGGCCGACTTTCTGGCATTAAGAAAACGATTTTTAAGACACTTTTTTACATAAATTATGAATTATATGATACTTTTGATATTAAAAGTCAGTAGGTTATAATAGGGACTTACTCTAGTATCTACTGGATGCTCTTTATTAACTATGTACTTCGCAAACAAGGAGCGAAAAACTCGGTGAAGGCAGTTTACAATAATTGTTACACGTGATGGCGGCGTGTTTGATCTAATTTCTATTTTAAGGTCACCGGTAGTTTCCCTGTATATATAATGTACAGTCAGTTGATAGTGATGTTTCACTCAATATAACTAAGCACCATGACAATAAACAAAGAATATCAATTGTATACTTGATACCATGAGTCCATGACCTTGACATTCGCAGTTTAAAATTTAGACGAGAAAACTATTCGGGTTCTATATTAAAAACCACCAGCTTAGAGGAATATAACGGTCAGTTTAAAAATCATTTGTATGAACAGATCTCAAGATAAAATTAAGCGATTTTTTTGTCAATCTTAGGTGAAATGATCAAAAAAGAAAAATAAAATATTGAGCGAAACGGATTGGCCCGAGGACAAATAAACTAATATTTATGTGAAACAATTTTTTAAACTGCCTACACTTTTAAATTCCAATTGTATAAGTCAGATAAGGATTTATGTGTCAATTTGAATGAGCAATTCGTGTATGACTGAGTTTGAAATTAGTAAGGCGTACTTGTACTCGTCAGGTGTGGTCTGTAGGTATGTGTAATATAGATAGTGATATTTACAATGCGTAGGTTGATTAGTAAAAACCTAGACTGGGTGAGATAAGTTCAAACGCCCATTGTCCTTGAGAAAGCTTTGGCTCAATTACGTTCTGAAAATATAGGGTGGACTAATTTCAGTGTACCAGAGGAAAGTATGGGGTCAAATTGCACCATTAAATTTAGTTTATGGAACTCGGCCAAGAAAAGATTATAAATATAGTAAAACTTTTGTCATGTGCGCATGGATAATTTCCAACGAGCATGCTACAGGCGCGTGATCAGAGATCAAGGAAAATAGCCTTAACACGTACTCCGCATGTCATAATATAACTTAATATGATAATAAATATCATAAGATGGACCAAGATTGTCACATATCGTTAAATTATTCCATTCATGACCAGGGATTGAATTTTTAATTGAATTTCATCATCGTGATTTTATAGCCAATGACCTTGAACGTCATAATGTAATATTTTGTAAGCCTTTGTAAACAGTTGTCACGGGGCATAAATACTGAAACCATTTCTTTCCTGTTATGAGTGCTATAGGTGTAAAGGGGTAAACACTTAGGGGTAGGGGAGGGGGTTACCACGTTTTCATTATGACCTCTAATGATAAGAAAGGTATACACGTCTCTCTATCCTCCTTGCACGGTCTAAACAAACTTGAATTTCGGACATAACGAAATTTTATTTCAATGCAATAATTCTTTCTTTTTTTAACGCGACCTTTTCAGAGTTATTCTGGTCATTTTGACACTTATTGATACTTAAGGCTCCTTTTTTGAACTTTAAAATGAAATCAAAATTAGTTACGCGTGTAACTGTCTATGTTATTCAAAACGAATTGAAAATACATCTAAATAAACTTACATCTTGTGTTGTATTTGGCAATTAGGCTAGTGAAGAAAACAAGACTTAAAGTGTTTTCATCCGGCGGAATTCAAAGTTTATAAGATTTCTTATTTATATAATTCAGGTTGTTCAAAGACGTAAAGAGAGAAGACGAGAAAGAAATAAATTATCCGCTCAGGCTTATAGACAGAGAAAGCGTGAAGAAATCCAAAATCAAGATAAGGTACGTGTTTGACAATTAATACCAATTTGCACTTTTGTTGGTCAATTCAGCTTCTCTTTCTTGGAGTCCACATAGCTTATAATTCCTATTCCATTCCACTATATGGACATATTACACATTGAAAATATAGCAGCTATATCAAACGGTTATTGTGACCTTGTGAATGATATGAAATAGATATATTATAAGTTTACCACTCTATCCTTTCAGATTGTTGTTGATTTAGAAGAACATCAAAAACGTCTGCAAGACAGAGTTGCCGAATTGGAACAAGAAAAATTATGTGTTGAGAACATCATTCGAAATCGCGTCCAGTTTTTGCCCTGGTTCCACACAAATGTGAATAATAACGGTGAAAACAATATAAATGATAATAAAAATCAGCACTTCTATCATGATGCTGGCAATAAAAAACACTGTGACGGCACCAATGGCGACATGACCATGACCGTGCGCGAGACCTCTTGTCAAGGTCAAAACATGATGTCATTACCACGTAAACACGCAGTGGCTTCATGAACGCCTTCCTGTGGCAAAAGGTGTTTAAAGATTCTCCTATGATGTAAAGATCGAGATGTATACAGATGGATGCCCTTGTTAATCAGTTGGCTGAGATATGATAGAGAAACTATCAAACTGTTAACGACCAATTGTGAAAGAATGTTCTTGATAAGGCTACATATTAACTGATTACAAGGGCAAGCACTATTGTGAAATATCCACTTAGGCCTATATGTACTGATATCTTTGATATTATTATGACCACTTCTAGATAGAAGAACTATTAGTCTTATAACATCCTAACGAGACAGATGTTTTCTCTCAATATCCACAAATCTTACTTTCAACCATTTATTGACGTGTTAACAAATCACACACATTTATTTTATAATTTTTAATATGATTAATGTTAGTGTTATGTTCTATTTATTAAATACATGTTAAACTGATTGTGTCGTGAACCATATTTCTTATTTTAAGACTTATTGGTGTTGTTATTTGTGAATATTTTTATGTTCAGATTGATATTTGATGTTGGTTTCTGAAATAAATTTGTAATTTTACCATACTTCTTTGCTATACATAGGCCCCTATACGGATTATTGAAAATAGAGACCTTGACCACTAAAGCACTTTGACACATTTTTAGTGACATAGTTCTTGGTTAGTCTCTTATCAGTCGATATAGAAATAGAGCCATAACTGTAGACATTATACTTAAAATATTTACCTTCCTCCCCTCCTATTGTAGAGTAGCTCTCTGTAGCCAGATTGTGAACATCTGCATTCCTCTGTAGCCCGATAACAGATAGAATCTCTATAACCTGAAAGTGCATGGCTTGTACATGGGGGATATGCAGCCTTGAAAGAAAATCTACAAAGGCCGCTGGGCACTGTAGGTTCGCGGGTGATATACCCAAATATCTGAACATAGTTAGTCATGAAACATAAATAGGTTAGTCGAAACACTTTGATTTTTAACAAAATGAAGACATAGTCATAAGCAAAGCTTTGGCTTGAGCTAATACAATGCATAACGCATAATGCAAGCCTTGAGTTGCTAGAATTAGCAATACTTTGCATGAAATCTCATCTGAAATAGAAGTACAGTCATATCAATGGTAACTGACAACATGGCGATTCTTTCCCAATATACCAATACGACTGTCACGGTGAAAAAACTGTGGTTTTGGTTCAATGAATATCTTCATAGCAATCATCGGGCTTCATGCTGTTGACGGCATTGATTTTCCTCTCTATTTTGTAATACCACTCGAACCGGGTCCAAAGTTGAACAACTCACATGACACACGAGCTTAATATAGCACTGGGAAAAGTGAAAAGGAATTACATCAGAAAATTTACTATTTTAATTTTAGTAACTGATTTTATATGATGACACACTGTCGTTCAATGTCAAGGGACCTGCAAGAAAATAGGCTATATAGACTTACGTGCTGTTTATATGCAGACTATATTATGCGCATATTAGGCTATGTCCTAATGAAATATTAAAAGGGGAATCATGTATATTTTTCGGTCAGCTACATTTTATATGAAAGAGAGATGAAAGCATTCGGTATAACAAGGTAGTTTGCATCTGCATTGCAAACTACAAAGTGGACCAAAGATTTGTGAACATGACCAGCGCTTCATTAACTTGCATTACAGGTATACGTATTGAATTAGTTTGTAAGTGTAATTATTTCACATATTAAGAGGCGGAAATATGAGTGTACTCGTGCAGAATCTTAATTTATTGTATGATGATTACTCTATAAAACGTTGCTTTAAAGGCATGGTTGGAAAGTTTTCGAAATTTTGTAGGTGTATCGGTGATACTGATTACATCAATATACACCATACCAATTTTTAACAAGACATCTGTGGTTCCTGCAATTCCACTAAACCTATAAGTGTTTGATGATGTCACAAAGCCCGCCTTCATTAGCCCACATGGTGCAGAGGACGTAAAACTCCATTCATTTCATTTCATTTCACTAATACCAAGGGCCTTAAAGTGATACAATCATATTTTGCGATTTAGAAAACCTCTTTACAATTCCTTTAAGTGAAAGATATCTCTATTTTTTCTATTTTTGTGAAAGATAACATAACAAGTATTGTGCAATATTAACACAAATTAAAAGCTGAAAGAGGACACATATAATTATTCAAACATTATCGAGAGAAGATGACACCCAATAATACATCGCTTGATTAACTTGATCAAATTTCATCAATTTCATCAACCACGAAGAAAAAAACAACAAGTTCATAATCATTCACCGTCACGGTAAAAATAAATGATTGCTTAAATTATACTGTTCAAATAGATTTCCCTTCAATACTATTCATTGAATTTTAAATATGTGATAATGTCCATAGATACTCGAAAATATTTATTTATTGACCTTGGTAAAAGTAAAAATTGTGTTGAACAAAATGTCTTTCTTATCGATGTATATGAAACTTGGCACGTACATTTCTCTCAGTATATATATTAAAAGCTGAAGTCACTTCTTAACTTGACAGTCATATTAATAGCCTACACTTTAAAGTGACGATCTAACAAAATATAGATCTAATTTCAGTTCTTATCAATATTACAAGTCAATTGTTCAGTTCCTTATTGTTCTGCTATAACAAAACATAATTTTAATGGAAATAGAATCAATTCTTTCTCTTTCTTTTTGTGGTCATTTTCGCTGCAATTTTTCAATTTGCTCTCTTAAATTATTGCATCACATAAAAGAGGAGCTATGCGCCCGTTCACAAATATGATGGTCATTGGTTACACAAATGCTTTGAGATGAGATGATTACAGGTAGGCACAAAAGTCGCTACTCTTCTGAAACACCAAGTATCACCTAGTCCATACATTTAAAAGACCCGTAGGCCTATCACTTTTTAGACTTAGCCTGGAATTGAAACATAAAATCAGGGAAAATTCTAGATTCCAAATTTTTCAATCACAAATTCTGATGCAACTATGAAGACTCTTTCATAATAATAATCGCTGGAATGGCAAAAAATGCATATTTTTCACGAGTTATATAACGCAGAAGGGCCAATAAGGTAATTGGATTAAATAATATATAACTTTTGGATGCATGTTCCATAATATTAAAGTTTTTTCAAGAAATTTCCATTATGTAGCTATTGATACAGGCATTAGAAATATGACATGTAAACTGTCTACTCTGAATTTTTTTTATAATTTTCCTTAAGGCATTTCTGGATATTCAGTTTGATAGCAATATAAAGCTATATACTGATAACATATTACACCCCGCGGTTATAAAACCTGATGGGTGTAGTGATTGATTTGATCCAGTAGACCTATGTGGTTGATAAAAACACTCAAAACTTATTTGATACACACAAGGCAAAAATCTCCTGTAATGATATCAATAACCAAAGATTTTTCAAAAAACTGACGCAACTGTAGTTGAAGGGGAATAACTCTAAACATGATTTTCTTAATTACATTAGTAGCCTACTAGTAATGAACAGGCAAATACAATAGAATTGACTAAAGCATAGTGACCGATACTATTTTGAGTCATGTTGTTTTTTGTTACCTCAGTGAAATATTGAATTCCGGATTGTACCTCCTGATTGAATTCTTTTGAATTACAAAAGTACATGTTTATGGATTTACGAAATTTATTTGATGTGTAGAACCAGCAGAAAGTAAAAGTAAATCGCATTCGTGCTGCTTCTTGAATACTAGAAAGAATCAGGAAAATTATATGCGTATTAAATCGCTCGAAATTTCTTGGCAATTCTTATTTGTTTTAACAATTTATTGCTGTCTGTATTCTGCATTGTCGAAATCAGATGATTTTGTTACCTCCCTTTATTATATCGGTTGTCAGATTGTGAAAGACTCTAAAGTTACAGAGAATGAGGATGAGCAATAGCAACTTCAACCTGGAAAGACCCCACATCTTTACGTTGGAAAATACAAACATTTTTTACATACTGTAAGGCTACATAATATGACAAGTTTATGACAGGACTTTCCTTTTATAATCAACCATTTAACGTTGTCTGTAGCCTCAATAAAATTATTGAATTACTTCCCTTCCTATACACATCTATTTAATTGCCAAAGCGAGGCGTCCAGAAACTCTCTATTACACACAATTTGTAATAAACCTTGAACAAGCGTCATTAGGCTTAAAATTAACTTACAATTACATAGAGTTTAGAAATACTTAGTTCTTGCTTCGTGACTTATGCCCGTTTTTTTGTTTTTAACTCATATCACCCACACACAAAACTAAAATATTGATTAGTCCAATGAGTCTTAATATCTCAATAGATTAGCCTATATAAGCTCCTATATAAGGCAACGGTAAAGCAAAATGTGAATGTGTGGGATGTTTTTAGTAAGAAATGCCGCCATCTTGTAAGGGGAGATAACATATATTATTATGTTATTGTGGTCTGCTGGTATAATCAATGGGTTATATAACTATAATGGATGCGAATTCTATTGCGGGAGCTACGTTATTTGCGGTTAACACTTTCTGAAATTGCAGGAACCACAGGCATTGGAATATCCCAAATAGAAGTCAAAGGTGTTCCTGATACATAATCGTTTTCATCACCATCTAACATAAACAAGACAAGAAAACCTCTTTACCATCCCTTTTAATATGTATAGGGGATAATGGTAGCATAGATTTGTGGTTCTTGCGATTCCACCAAAACCAAGCGTTTAATGACGTTCCTATCGTTAAAGCAGATTTTGCAGTTGGCCTAATGACGTCATATAGGCTACAGTCTGCCATTTTTATAAAAACAGGAACCACAGACCCAGACAGACAGGAAATGGGAATAGTTTAATTCAAGTCATGTCCGTTTTCAAAGTGACTGAATCAATCTCCAAAAAGGTGCCTCATCAACATTTTCATCATTCTAATTTTAGAAAATAATGTGCCACGTTGGCAGTTTCTGAGTCATACATTAGCATATTTTCGCGACTGCGCAAAGGCATTGTTTACAACGTTTGTCAAACGCTGAAACCACGTGTTTTCTATATAGGTCAAGACGTCTGTCAAATATAAGTTAATATATAACACAAAATAAATTTATTTTATTAGAAGTCATTGCAATTATGTATGATTTTAGTTCAAAACAACTTTTATTTACAGATTTAACTTTGTAACGAAATTTTTCCGTCATGATATTGCAAATTTGAAGAAACGCCCGGTTAAATTTGACAAGGGGAATCCCTAGTCTCGCTATATATAGGTTAGAGAGAGCAGTAACTGTGGTTTATTATCTCCCTTGACCAATCGTTATCCTTGATTTGTAACATGTTGAGACTTGTTTCTCACAATACAGCAAAATTTCATTCAAGTTCTTCAGTTTAAAGCCCAGCGTTCTATTGACAAGCCGGACTATAGCAGCGCTCAGCAAGATACAATGTAAGACATCCCTTATAATAAGTATTTTGATTTTTAACTTTTAATAGCATGCCTTGATGAATATATTTATTCATGACTTGGATATTTGACGGCCGAAAAATTATTCTACTATAGGTTATAACGATATGTTATAGGCTATTGGCATACTGATGCAAACTTTATCTAAGAGGGTATTTCTATTATTCTACAGATATGCTGTGGAAAGGCTATAATGAAAGAACTTTCATGTGGAAAAGATTATCATTTGAAAATAGTGTATAAATAAATAAAAATTCGATTGTTGCATTTATGTAAATGTGTCACAACTTATGTAGGACATTGTTTGAACCAGGATAGAAAAAAATGTATGCATATTAATGCACTAAAAGTTACCTCTTAGTTAATGTAGCCTGCAAAATGTTCCAAGATTGCATGTCATTTTCCATTTATAGCATCGTGTCAGATCTATATAGCGTATCTCACGTCATTTGAATGAAATCGGCTACAAAAAAAAATGCAAATACCGACAAATATTCTTTATTTCTAAATGATGCATCATGCAGTAAACATTTTGAGTCGTTTAGAGACTTATTGTGCATATATTTGGCCAAAACTATTATACTGAGTTTTCAAGTCGAGACACGAGGTGAAGCTGATGTCATCAACTTATTTCAATAATAGGTGTTGATGTAAGATGGCGGCCTTGTTTAACCCCTTGTCACAAATCGTTTTTAAATACAACATTCGATGGTTTTTAGAAATAAATAAGTGAAGACTTTTGGAAAAATGGAGAACATGTTTTTGAATGGACGCTGCTAAGTTGAATAGTCAAGGAAGATAAGAATCCATGCAAAAAGGAGAGAAAAAACTTTTAGAATAATTTGATTTTGGCCATTGTGTTTTTCATTCCATCGATGATGAAAGAAACATGCTTACAAAATTGATTTCCTTTTTTAGAGAACAAATATGCAGTTTGACACAGTAAACTTGTATGACTGGTTGGAGAGTGGTGATATAGCCCTGACTGGAATTACAGGAACTATTCCAGAGGAATATAGTAACAGCCACATTCCTACTCAGATCCCCACCACCCTAGGAAATATAGACAAAAAGTTAGCACAGGCTGCTATAGATGTTCTTACTTCCGGTTCTTTAACACCTTTAATCAAAGAAGAACTGAAAACAAAAATTCAGGCTCAGCGTCTAAAAAGTGGTAAAGAGGAATTGACAGTGTTTTTTGAAGAGGAAAAGAAATGTGAGGTAAGTTATTTTTATATTTCACTTTTAGAGTATTGTAGTACAATTCAGCTACGCGGAACAATTAGTTGTCTCCAATATTAGGATTCGGACAGGGCAGGCAAATTTATTCTTTTTTAACGAGCATATTCAGGATCGGCTGATATATAATAAAGCTATATAGTCGTCTAAATATTTCTTTTATTAGCTAATAGAACTCATTTTTAGTAATCGCTTTTGAATTATCAACATTTCGTTGAATCACACGAATTTAAATGGAAATACTCCAAAGAGCTGAGACTATGCTCTATCGAATGGTCAAGAGTATATTTAGACGACTATATCCCTTTCAGATTTCAACGCGTATTACATTCCTGGTCAGAAATTCCCGATGGGTATTACCGTTTTCTTATCAGTTATATAGAAAATTATATAACAGTAGACTGCGATACATAAACATAAACCATTTCAAGGGATTAGACATTAGTAATATTTGGAAATGCCAATTACCTAATCGGAAGGGAACCAGGCATTGTATATTAATTCTGAAAAAAGGTATGGGCGGTTGAAATCTTGGGAAACGATTCATTACCATCAGAATGTTTTTACAGTGATAAGACTATGCTCTGCCTATGATGGAGTTATGGGGGAAGGTAGAGGCGGGGGAAGACGGGTCGAAGCCATAAATCTCCGATTTCTATGTCCTTATAAGACTAATTACAAAACATGTTTTCGCTATTCTTTTAATTTGCACTTACTTTTTTTAGTTACGAGACGACGAGAAGGAAAGAATGCAGAAGCGGAAAGAAGCTAATAGATTAGCAGCTATTAGGTTTAGAAGAAAGAGAAAGAGTCAGGAACTTCAACAAGTCGAGGTAAAATAATATTTCTAAATCTAAACTTATAGTAGTCCCAACCATTAATCCACATTGACAAATTCAATGTCAACAGACAAGAAAATGAAAAAGAAATGAATAACAGAAATGTATCCTAACGGATCGATGGAAGGCCAAATTTTGTCCTGAAAGGAGGTGGGGATATATAATAATATAACTGTGCAATATTGTTCATTTTCTTAAAATCGCAATGAAATTTACTTCTACTGAACTTTTAAGATTTTAATCGTTGCTGATGGTGGCTACTTCATATCATTTCTATCGCATTTTACAGGAATGCACAGAATTAGAGAGAAAGAATACTAAACTGTTAAAAAAAATAGTTGATTTAGAAGAAGAAAAACAACAGCTCCTAGATATGATCAGCTCTATTAGAAGCCCTCCCTAAATTTAACCCTATCGTATGAAGAACAAATCAAAAACTCAGTCATACCAAAATGACCAATCATCAGGGTCTTTGTATAGTTATGAATATTCATATGACCTTATGACCTCAAGTTATTATTCGTCAACCATGGCGTGTACAGTTTGCTGTATTGTAAAATAATATATGATGTTACTGTTGATACTTGATACTTTGTCGAAATCTATTGACTCGCCAAGTAGGCAGGGGCTAATGAACCCGTACTTCCATACTATACTGATAACTGCCAATCGACTTTTTTTTTTATAAAGTTTTGTTTTCATTATATTTTATCATCATTGTTATCGTGAAGAAACATTTTGTCTTGTATCAGTATAGGCTATTTTTACAAGAATGCTGCAATTGTTGTCTTTAGTCAGTCTGAAAGAGTATATTTGATTAATAATCGTTATTTTGGTAATCCAACCAGTATAGGCCTATTCTTACGCATGTATGCCATTGGCTTTACAGGTAGTTTACATTCCACAACAAAATCACCTCATTTATTGTTGATTCGTAAACCGAGATGTGTAAAAGTTCTGAAAGAATATCTCAATGTGAATGCGAATTATCATTAAATTGTCTTCTGATAGCCTTAATTTGTTCAAACGTCCTTTTTGAAACGTACTTTTAATTAGATGAATTAGATGATGAATTATTCATCATCAAAGGGTAGGAAATGTAAGATTTCTCTATGTCCAAAGGAGATGATCCAATTTTTGCTTTTTGCATGGAAATTGAATAATATGTTTGTCATAGTTTCTTAGAATACATTGTCATGTCTATACAGATATCGATATAGAAACACAAATTGTTTCGCAAAACTGGAATTTCCGGTACTGTGCTTCCATATTGGATTAAATACAAATTCGGTTCTCTTTGATACTTTAATAAGATTTATAAATACTTGTAAATGTACATGTTTCTCACAATATACTGGCATTCCGAGAAACATATTTAATGTACATGTATTTTATTTTCATTTTCAATGTTTAAGAGAGTTGTTAACGTTATGTTTGTTTGTGTAAAGAAGTTTTCAAATGGCAAGTAGTTTTTAAAATTATGTATGTTGAAATTGTCAAGGTATGTTTACCGATATTTGTGAATATGAAACTTAAGATTGTTTTAAAATTATAAAGTATGTTGTTGATTTTTTACGCGTAAACATTTCTTACTAGTGAGATAGAATGTACCGTTTTCACCCACGTAGTAGGCCTGTGTTGATAAATGGAATTTGCAACAAGTTCTACACAAGGCTCAACTATCACAGGGAAAGGTTGAACCAAGTCCATGGTCCCCCACACCTAAGGGGTCCCACTCCCAGACAAAATGCAAGAAAGCATATGTTAAACAAATTCAAGAGGGACCCCATCGGCAACTTGTGAAAACCTATCCCAAAAACACCGTGGAATTTGGCCTTTTCCTCTCTCTTTTTTCACAAATACATTCATCGAAGTGGTTCCACACGTTTAGAAACGAAGGAACAACTCAGTTACTACCAGACGGTCCAGACTACACCTTTTCACCTTTGTCATGGTTTGTCATAGCCCGTTCGTTATAACTAGCTTCAATATCCTATTTTATAACGTGTTTAAAATACTTCGCGGAACTAAATAACTAAGCGGGGTGGTGATTTCGTTAATCAAACAATCAGAAACAAATTAGAATTAGTTCTAATTGGATCAAATGCTCTTTTAGATTAGTGGCAACCTTATGTTTTTTCAGCAGTTTATTTTAATGTTCTTCTTAAAATAAAAACGATGACAATGTCTCGTTCGTGTTATCATTTTTTACTTCGCGGACATATTTTTACTTCGCGGACATATTTTTACTTCGCGGATCTAAAGTGCTTCGCAAGGCAGAATAGACTGTTTATGACAGTTCAATTCCACCAAACAAGTATAACGAAATCATTTTTTCTGAAATTCTATCCAAGAATGATGCCCGCAGACGACATTAATTTCATTTCTCAGTTCTGCACCGAGTTTTATACTGCGAAACCAAATTTCAAAAAGTCCGCCCGCTTACAAGTCCAATCTTGTTGTTTATTTATAGTAACTTGCTATATAAAAGCCCAAGATTACATTTATCTCAACCATTCAAGGATTTGATATAGCCGACACAGTAAAGAAAAATTCTACAACCATCATGTTTATCAGTGCTGGTAGGTTACTGATAAATGTTTTGAAAATGTTTCATTAGAATTTCATAATGCCACTGATATTAAAAGAATTTCAATCAGCAATTTGAAATTGTCAGCCTATCTAAATAAGGAAAAAGTCGAATGATTTCACAACACATTGAAATTCAAAATATTATGAACATTAACCATGTAACATTTGGTGCTTATGCATGTTTTTCTTTTCTGATACTTTATAGGTATTCGATTTTCAATTCATAAAACTTCAATTTTTATACTTAAATGTGTATTTGGGCATCAGATATTAGAAACATATAGCCTATCCATGTTCATTCTAGACGTTTATAATATGTATCATGTAATATAAAGCTTTTCGAGCGCTATACAAAGCGATTTTGAATAGAAATGACACACGTCTCGATGTTTCTTTCAATTTGTAGTGGTTACGTATCTCTTGCCAGATCATCATTTTTTGCTCTACATTTGTGACAATATCGGAGTGTGATTAAGTGGAATGTACATGTATTTTTTTATTATCAGGTCTCAATATCGCACTGAATATTATTTCAAAATCTTAAGACTAATTAATCGAGAACAAATTCCAGAAAATTTCATTGGTTGATAAAAATAGACTCTAAACCGAACGTATATGTTTATGTGCTGTCACAACCACGTGCAATACCTAACATTTATTCCATCAGCTACACATCGCCGGTTTAATTTTTACGTTAAACTTACGATTTAAAATGGTTGATCTCCGATTTATTTCAGTCAAAGAGAACGAAGACGTGTATTCATTGTATACTTTTGAGGAAACATTCGACATGTTAAGAGACGAAAAGGATCTCCTACCAGATTTCTCGCTTTTGACTGATGTCAGTGAAGATATGGATGAAACTATTGGCGGGTGCCGAAAAGATCCAGACTTTTACGATGAGTTTATGGACTGTCAAAATGTTGATAATTTTACCAAAACAACCATTGACACCAACGGGCTTGGGATATGCAGTACAATTGATGTTGCTTCTACAAGTGTTGATAAGGAAACGCCTCAAAACATAGGTAAATACAACTTATTTTCTTTTCTACGTTGTTATACTCAGGGACATTTTGTCCAGGCCAGGCTGTCTAGGGATCCCTTAACGTGCTCGACGTGCAGTAGGCTACACGGGGTCCTGGTTTATTATGCCATCCACCGAGAATGGTATGCGTTTGTGATGTATTTAAATTGATATTTGAATTCCAAGGCATCCATTCTTATATTTTTAAGCCTTTTTATAAATGTATAATATTTGTATTATCTTTTAGTCTTTTTGTCAATGGTATATTATATTTCAGCTCCCCCGTCAGAAACAGGGAACTTTACACACGACGAAAAGACAGTAGCTGCAGTATTAGCCAGTCTCGAGTCTAAAAGTATGACACCACTGATTAAGGAAGGATTGAGGTCCATTATCCAAACCAAACGATTGAAAGAAGGGAAACAAGAGTTGGAAGTTAGATTCACACCATATGTAAAACGAGAGGTGGGTTGATACAATATTCATTATGAAAAAACGCATTCTTTTTGTTTCATTGAATTTGACAAAAGACCATAGGCCTGTGTAACTTGTAAATAAGATACCTGCATGTATAGTGGCAATGCATAAAATAATTTTACAAAGAAATGTAATAATAAGAATCATTATCGAGCGCAAGTAGAGTATAAACTTTAACAGGTCTCCCGAAAATAAACCTCAAGATTTCTGTATAATTTTAGCCACAGACGGAAGACGAAATAAATAGAGCCATGAAACGAAAGGAACAAAATAAAATGGCTGCAAGACGATTCAGGCAGAGGCAGAAGGACTTTGGTGATCGTTTTATGAAGGTAGGTTATATATATATTGCTCTTTGTCATTCAATTGTAGGAAAGTCGGTGCACGAGAATTGCACATAATCGAATTTTCCAGCAAAATTGAACGTGATTCACTTTGTATTCATTAAATATATAATATTTGTCGAACAAGTGATGTAACTTTTACATAAAAGATCGTAGCAAAAATGAAATTTCAATAAAATCAGTGTAATTTTTGTCTTTGTAGAAAATAAAGAAAATAGAAGCAGCAAACACTGTCTTAAGAAAAGAGATTCAACAGTTACAGAATGATAAATCAGAATTAAGCCTCATTCTTCAAAACCATTTGTCAGTTTGTCATTACCAACCAGACGTTTCTTTACCATGACATGATCACTGCCTCATAGGCCTATACTAATCTGAAAATGGATGAAAAAAACCATAAAACAGAAATGCCAAAAATATCGAAAAATAGTTCGTCAAGAACTACTAAACCGATGTGACGAAATAGATCGATGTGACGGATGAACGATCTTCCCGGTGTTATATACTTTAGGGTTTCTGAGCAACTTATCTATAAGGGGTGGTTAGGCGTAACAGAAAAAGTTTCTAGTAGTCTTTGTGCTCTATGTTCTCTTTGTACCTGATATATATATAACAGTTTTCTTATGATTTCTATACCTGAAGTCATAGTATTATGTGCCAAGATCTGAAATATATTGCAGAATGGATCGTATCGGAGTTGATGCGATCGGAAGTGAATCCTTGTTCCATCATTTACTTGCTTAGAGTGAGGTTATGATGTGCAGAAAAAACTCATATGAAGCATTTTCATGTTAAACATATTATAAATGGTACTGCCAATACACAGGATTTCTATGTATTGTTATTGTTGATGATGTTATGTACGTAAAATGTGTGTATACTCATAAAGCCTGACCTTTTACATTAAACTTTTATATAAGAAAATGTTTGTCTTTTGTCCATATAGATTTGGATATACCAGCTACCCATATATATTCTGTAGATTTTCCATTCGGTTATTATATTGCCACGGGAAAGCGGCAAATTAAAGTTTGCAATTAACTCACTTGCATACACGAGATGACGAATAAAATATTGTTTATCCCATTTTCTCACAAGATAGATCCATTAACATGCGAAAGTGGCCGTTTAACTGCATTTGGGTCATTATCTTTATAAGAATATTCCCGTTCATTGCTTTGATCCACACGAAAATCTTAAATGATTTGAAATAGGCCTAATGAAACTTCTTGACTAGGTCTGAGGGATTCATTCGTATACGTCTGAGTGTTCATATCTTAGAATAATATGAAGATCTTAGACTTCGAATTGGTATTCATTTGGTCAATGGAATGTAATGATTATGACCACTGATCTATGTGACAAACTATGAAACGACGGGCACCTGCAAACGTCTTGATATCCGTAGCTATAATTAGAGTTACTTCTCTTCTAGGTCAAGCTCGCTTCCCCAGAAATACAAAACCAGGGACCGGTTTTCAGCTTTTTGCGGAATGCTACCTTCGATATGGATCGGATAATCTGGATGATTTAGTACTACTGTGCAAGGAATAACAAGGCTCCCGAAAACGGTAAGGATATTAAGAATGCACGTTAGAATTTGTTTGGTAAACACATGTTTTACTATCGAAACTGCACAACTTGGCTTGTTGCCACGCCGACTGTTCACGGGAGATAACCCAATTTCAAACGTCGTGTGTTTTTCAGTTTCAAAGCAAATCTTATAGCATTCTCAAACCTTATAGCAATAATGTTTGTCATTATGATGTTGTTTCATCAATAACTGACATATTGGGACATGTAATATCTGGACTTTTACAACCAACTTTTTATACCGTATTGCAGAAGAATGATCTTAAAAAAAATCCCCACCCCCATACTCAAATCATTTTTGAATAAGTCAGTGTTTTTTTGTAACATATCACTAAGTTTTTGCCTTTGAAAGATTATAGTTGTAAATTACTTGAGTCTGCTTTGAGAATGAATGATAAATATGATAATCTTTTTGTGCTATTGTCAGTGTCTCATTCTTATTGCAATGCTAAAAAGTATCTTTTAACACAATAACATTTTTTCAAATTGAAATTGTGCAAACATAAAGGAAAAGTCTGATAATGATAATCATAAAGCTTGTGGCGAATAATTCTAAAGAATGCATAAAAAAACAGGTAATACATGTATTTACATATATACATAATACTCAAGCAATATTTATCATTTCAAAAAGGCTAAATGTGTTTTTTTCCTTAAAAGCTTAGATCCAACTTTCTTTTGTATTTTGCAGGTCAAAATGTCATCATCAGGTGTGAAGGTTTCTATTATAAGTACTAGTAATAGTAACAATGAAACTAGTAGTATTACTGTATCATCAGTCAGAAGAACTGGAAACTCCATATTTAGTCATAAAAACCTGGTACAAGATGAAAAACTTGTGGCAGCAACTCTAGCATCTTTGAAAGATCATCTTGATCCTAGTAAGATCATTAAAGAAGAGTTGAAATGGTTGATACAATCAAGACGTGTAGCTGAAGGAAAAGAAGCATTAAAAGTTGAATTCATTCCACCAAGAAAAAATGAGGTAGGTGCTTTTGTATATCCCGACAATTAATGTGCTTCAGGCACTTTTATGTTCCTGGTAAAATTTTAGATTAATTCCATGACTTCAAAGTTAAGCTTGTAATTGTAGAAACAGCTGGGAAAATTTAGATTAATTGAAGTGTTGTTACTTCTAAAAGATGGTTTGTTTTGTGTCTAAATTTCAAGTATGTCATATTAACTTTCATTCTTTTCTCTAGATGACACCAGATGAAATTGAAAGGGCTCAGAAAAGAAAAGAACAGAATCGATTAGCAGCCAGAAGATTTAGAAGAAAACAAAGGGATACAAATGTTTACCTTTTATCTGTAAGTTGATGTTTTGACTGTATTTTGCAATGGTTTAGAATGTTATCCTCTATTCATAGCAGAAGGTGAAGTTTTAATGGACTCATTTTAAAATTTTTACTTTTCAGAAAACCAAACAATTAGAATCTTCCAATAAGAATTTAAAGAATGAAATGGGAAATCTTCAAAGAGAAAAACATAAACTATATGACTTATTAACTAAACATGTTCCATTATGTCGGAGTCAGTCTCAGAAAGAGGAATTAAAGTGTGCTTTAGACAGAATGTTTAGTTCTAGTTCAAGCCAATCCTGATGAAATTCATTGTGTACATGTTTGTGCTCTGTGCTGTTCGTTATGGCTGCTTCTGAATTGGTGTCATTTGTGTGTTGCTTTCTAGCAATTTGTCTTGTGTTTTGTATCAAAATGGCTTCCAGAAAGAGTGGTGTCTGTGAACTGAAGTAGATGGAGAATGTTGAGAATTCTGGTCAAGGGGAGATAATCAAGATTTTATTTTGGGGTCAATTGGTTTCTCATCTTTAATTGTTGTTTATAATTACAGATATGATGGGTCTCATTTTGACCTTGATCTGCAATCATTTTTTAATTCTTATCTTTAATTGTTTCATCATGCATTTTGGCTGTAGGTCCTGATTTTTGAAATTGAAAGTAAATTTGTATGTAAACTGTTTCATTCTAGACAGAAAAGTCAGAGCAAGAACTTAATATCTTCTTCATGACTAAAACAAGGTGATCACTGCCAGATATAAACATGTGCCTGTAAAGGTGAGACTATTTTCAGACTTATTTTCCACTTCATATTTACCAAAATCTGGAATAAAAGATCCACAAGCTACATTTGTATGCAATCATTTTGCAGCTGAATTTTTTTGTGATCGAAGTTCATATACTTTTGAGACAATATCTGAAGTAAAAATTTAATTGAAATTGTATCATTTGTAGACACCTACTCTCTGCACCTAGATTTATGATTTCAAAGTTACTTTACGTGCATGTAGTTCTTAAAAATGCCTTCTCAAATTATATATTATACCACTAGTGGTACACTTTAATGATATAAACTTCTATTTTTGGGAAACTAAAATAACAGCATTTACTGAAATAGTGGTTGTAGAATGACCCAGAATTTCAGTGTTAGAGTGAGATGAGGATTGTATTTGCAAAAAGGCACTGGCCTAGGTCTTGAATTAAGAAATATAAACAAGGGGTTTGAGATAAGTGTGTGATTGTATAATCATTTTGTATATAAACATTTTGTATGCTCCTGTATGTATATATTGTGAACTATAAACATGAACGTAAACTTGATTGAAGATACTATGTCAATCATAAATTATACGTTGATTATGTCTTTGGAAAGAAATCTCTAGTATGATTTTCTTGAAGGGCAAATATTACATTTCCTACATATATCACATAACTCATCTTCATGATGTCAAGCTATTACAAATTTCAAACTTATACCTTGCTTGCAAAGGTCACTATTCTTGTGCCACAGAAAGCAGCGATTTAAATTAATTATATGCCAGCGAAAACAACCAATCAGAGCACTCAACTGCTCATAGAACAGCCTGTGGAGGCCTCTGATTGTCTGTTTTCATGAGCATACAATCCAATCAAATCCCTTCATTTTTTCTATGATGCTAGAAAGGCATCTTCAAATAGTCTACGTCTTCATCTCATGTTAAACCTTAACCATTGTGAAGAGGCAAGAAAGGTAATCATTGCAGTCAAGGTACAAGTAAAAAGTTTGTAATAGCTTGACATTGTGAAGATGCACTATACCACAGGTATTTGAAGTTTAATTAATAACCAATTAAAAAAAATTGCAACAACCCGAGCTTGCAAAAGAATATTTGAATAATTTATGTTGGTGTAAATTTTTTTCTTAATCCTTAAAACTTTACATATACGTGTAGACTGCTATCATGCTACTGTGTAAAATTATCTTCTAAATAGTTTCCCTTTAATAAGTAAGTGATATACATGATATGTATATGAATTTAGATACAATTGAAAACAGTAACAATGACATCCAAGTAATATTGAATATAGATATCAAAATTGATAACATCTTTCTATTCAGACATATTGAACTATATGAAAATAAAAATCTGTTCTATAAGTATTATCGTTATATTTATATCTTCCATACACTATGTCTGCTTTTCTAATAAATTATTTGGATTATCAATGCGTTTTTCTATGGCCCAAACCTAAAAACCCAAACCCATCTTCTAGATTATTCCTTGCCCTACCTATATTCAATTCTCGTCGGATTTAGGCTAGACTGTTTGGTTTTTCAATTTAATCAAAAGACAAACATATTTCGTTTTCAAACTTTATTTGTAGTGGAGATCGCCCCCTAATCCATCTGAACCCCCAGTCCGACTTTGTCAAGAGCAGCCAAATATATGCGGATAAAAAAGTTTGACCAAATGGCCCGAGAAGCGCTGGAATTTAGTGAAAGAGTGAAGTTTTATTGTACACAATATTTCAACAATTTACATTTGTCATTAAGTGACACTGTACCGTTTATTCTTGACGGGTGTAAGAGCGAAATCATCGTTTGCATTTTCAGAAAAAGTGAAAAGCTAGCTGATGCGTTAGGTCACAGGGTTTATCGGCTATATTTCTGAGAGCTACAAACGGATTCACACCTACGGTTCGACCCCTTTTGAATAAATCCTGCGTACGCCACTGGTTCCTCTCGCATTGAAAAAGCGATCTGAGCTCCTGTCCGTAGGCAAGAAGGGACCCTGCTGGTTATCGTTAATGGCAATTTGACAGCCCAGCGTTAAATCGATTTCTTTCCATTTCTCCAACAACAGTCACATGGTGTCTTTTATCCGCATGAAAACCCCAGACCCAATCGATAAGAACTCATCTAGGACCCACAGAAGGAATGGCTACCTATCCCTCGTGACTTAATCAGAAGATTAACTTTTTTGTTCGTTATATAGACACAGCTTTATGGAACAACAATCACTGGTTAAAGTTTTATGCAACGTTTCGACGTGTTTCCCCCGTCGTCCCCAGGCACATAATGAGAAGGAGTGGTGGGCAAACTATATATACATTAATGCTTATTATTAAGAACACACAAGAGATAAATGGTTTATTGATACATTACATTAAATTTTAACAGGTACAATAAGAGGTATATAATTCTTAAAATAACATACAGGCTGATTAAGTAAAATAATTGAAGTAAAGTAAATGAATTAAAAAAGATTAATTGAAGTTTAAATAAACAACTATTGCTGGTATTGGAGTCTTTTATTAATAGAAATTACATTGTTCATATAACTAACTGTGCTTAAAGTTGGAAATTGTTTTTGAACATGAATAATTACAAGTTGATAAGTTTATCATATGCATGCGAGAAACGAACACCTTCATCTCTGTTAAGGTCAGGCTGATATCTTCTGATGTGGATAGCTTCATGAAGTCTCCTGGTTTTATCTATGTGCTTATTGATTGTCAGTATGTTGGTGTTGTCAAAGTTGACTTTATGCCCTGTTTTCCTTCCCATAGCAAGATGTTCAGCCACAGCAGATGTTCCTTCATTGCCGGGCTTGTCTTGATGGTCTTTGAGTCGAACATCAAGGGGTCTCTTTGTTTCCCCTATATACGAGCTTCCACGAGAGCACTCAACTTGGTAGACACATCCCTTAGGTTTTTGGTTGTTGGAGGGATTCAATTTACCACTGGCTCTGAGCAAATCTTTAAGCTTTGAGTTGCCAGAGAACACTGTTTCAATGCCGACTGACTTTTTCAGGATCTTCTTGATTTGGTATGATGCCTTTCCGATGAATGGGATAGCTAAGCGGGTTGATGGTCTGTTGGGATTAGGCTGTTGGTTGGTTGGTTTTGCCATTAATACGGATCGAAAAGCTTGATGTACAAAGCTAAGCCAAGTATGTAATAATTTAACATTTTTATTGAGATGCAGGGACAATAAGCTTATTCCTAAGG